CTCAGGACGGGCAGGAGATGTGGGGAGCAAGCACTGGGATCCCCGTTTTCCCCTCTAGCTGTGGGGGGGGGGACACGGGTCCCCAGAGGGTGACAGCCCCCGGTGCCGCACTGCCTGCGCCCCGCAGCCCCCAGCCCAGCCAGGGAGCGCCCAGCGGTGCCCCCGCTGACCAGTAACACCAGTTTGGCCAGCTCCCGGCCGTGCAGCCGGTACTGGGGCCTCCTCCTCACCCGCTTCCCTGCGCCGCCCGGTCCCCAACCCCGCTCCAAGCATCCCCCCCCTTGGGACCAGCCCCCGACCCAGCACCGAGCTGAGCGGCGACGTCGCGGCCCCAGGCAGAAAAAAAAAACCAAAATCTTTATGCAGGGGGGAGGCAGGACAGCCAGGACCCCTTTCCGCCCCTAAAACAAACCCAAACCAACACAACCACCCCCAAAACGTCAGGCTCGGCCGCCCCCCACCCCCCCCGGAGCCCACCCCGCATTCCTGCGGCGTGGGGGCCCCCCGAGCGCGGGCCGCATCCAGCCCTGGCCGCCCGCCAGCGGCCCCGCTGGAGCCTCCCCAGCAGCAACAAAGCGCGGCCGGACCCCTGCAAAACACCCGGGATTTCCCCCCCCCCTCTCCCTTTTTTCCCATTTTTTTCCCCTATTTCCTTCCCAAACAACTGCAGGGAGCACGGGGAGGAGCCCCCCAGGGCGAGGAAAACAGGGGGGGGGCGTTTTGGACAACGCGGCCGCTTTTCCTCCCCCCCCCCTTTCCCCGGCGCAGCTGCAGCCCAGCTGGACGGACGGACGGACGGACAGACCCCATTGGGACGTGGCTGAGGATGGGGAGGGGGGGGCAACGTGCGTGTTTGTGCCCCCCCCCCCATATCCCCCCCCCCCTCGGTGCTGAAGGATACAGCTTCACCGCTCCCGCCTTGGTGCCGATGGCCATCACGCGCAGCCGGGGGTCGTAGGCCAGGGCGCTGGGCTGGCTGGGGAAGCCGTGCTCCACGGTCTGCGGGGACAAACGGGTCAAAACGGAGCCCCCCCAGCTCACCCCAAAACCCCCCCAGGTTGCCCCAAACCCCCCCCAGCTCGCCCTGAGCCCCCCCGGTGCAAACAGCATCACCCCAACACCCACCGGTGCCCGAAGCGCCCCGGGCGACGTTTTAGCAGGGCGCACGCCCACCCCATTGAACCTCTCCAAAAATCTCCCCCAAATTTCCCCCCTCCCCGCCACGCCGAGGCACTCGGGGAGCCCAAATCCTACAAAACGCCCCCCCCCCACATCCCCACGGTGCCCCCCCACCAGTGGAACCAGGCGAGCGGGACCTGCGAGCGCCTGGGAGCGGAGCCGTCCCCGGCTGAGCCGCCCGCGGGCACCTTCCCAAGGAAGTCCGGGGACGGCGGCGTGCCCGGGCTCGCCGTTTCGGGAGGGGTTCCCGGGGATTTGGGGCAGCCCCCCCCCCACCCTACACACCCCACACACCCCTCCATCCCCATCAAACGAAGAGCTCCCGGAGCCAGCCCGGCCGGATCCCCGGACCCCGTTGCCTTTGTCTGGGGCCGCCGGCGGGTGACTTTGCGCACCCATCGCCGGGGGTCCCAATGAGGGATGGGGTCCACGGGATGGGATCACGGGGGTCCGGGCACCCCGCTGCCTTCTGGCACCCCCAAAAAATTTGGGTTTGGGTTCCGCTCCCCATCCCCGTGCACCATAAAGTGTGTAGGGTGAGCGCTGTGCGCCCTGCAGCCACCCCAAAGCCACCGCTGGGCACGGGGCTGCAGCGCCCCGGTGCCGAGCTGGGAACACCCAAAAAAACCCTACCAGGAATCCCAAAAATTAAAAAACCCTAAAAAAAAAAAAACCCTCCGACCCCCTTCGCATCCCTTCCTCCCGCCAGGCAGCGGGGTTGCATCCGGCAGGAGGCTGCTCCGGCCGGCCCAGGGGCGCTCTGGGCCAAATTACTGCAAAATCCGAGGCAGATTGGGAGCACGGGGAAAGGGGGGAAAAAATAAAAATTATAAAAAATAAAAAAAAAAGGCAAAAATGACAAAAAATAAATAAATAAGGAGAGCTTAATGCGAGGCAGGTGGGCACGCAGCGGCCCCCCGGGGATGGATGGGGCCGGGGGGGGGGGGGAATGGGGCTGCTCCTGGCAGCGTTTCCGATGGGGAGACCCCCCCCCAAAAAAAAAAAAAAATAAAAATTTGGGGGGATTTGGGGAAAGCAAAGGGGGGGACCCCAAAAATGGGGCTGCATCCCGGGGGGGGTCAGGGGTGATCCCGGGGGTGTCCCCGGCACCACGGGGCTGGGGTTTGAAGGATGGGGGTGTCCCCAAAATGCGCCCCCCCCCCCCCTCCAGCATCAACGGGGACACCCCGGGGGGCTCCGTCCCCACCGGGTTTGGGGTCACAAAGCGCCCCCTCCCCCAAACCGGGGGCATTTTTGGGGTGCCCCCCCCCCGGTGAGCATCCCCAGCCCCCCCGCAGCCTCCTTGGGACCCCCACCGGGGATATGGGGGGGGGCAGCACCGGGGATGCTCCGGGGGCTGCACGGTGCTGGGGGGGGTCCCCAAAACCAGGGGGGTCCCCAAAACCAGGGGGCACCCCAAAAACCGGGGGGGACCCCAAAATCCAAGGGGGGACCCCAAAAAAAAACGGGGGGGGGGAGGAGGGGGAGGAGGGACCCCGGTAACACCGGGGGATGGGTGGGGGGGGGGGTCCCGGTACCGGCACCCAGCACCCAGGGGGGACCCTGGGGGGGGCTCCGCGCTCCCGGTGCTGGATGGGGGGGCCCGGGGGGGTCCCGGGGGTTACGGGGGGGGGGTCCCGGGGGTTATGGGGGGGGTCCCGGTGGTCCCGGGGGTTATGGGGGGGTCCCGGGGGTTACGGGGGGGGGTCCCGGTTCCCGGTTCCCGCCCCCCCAGTGCCCCCCTCACCTTGCTGAAGGCGAACAGGTCGTGGCGGAGCCGTTCCCGGTGCGGGTCCGCTCCCTGCCGCCGGAACCGAAACTTCATCATGGTGCTGCCGGTACCGGGAGGGGCTCCCCGGTAACACCGGGACCGAATACGGGGCACTACCGAGCCCCCAATACCCCCGAGCCCGGACCCCCCCCGGACCCCAAATCCCGGCCCCCGAGCTCCCGGTGCCCCCTCCCCCGCCCCTCCCCCCCCCTCCCGGTCCCGAGCGCCTCGCGCCGAGCCCGGGCAGGCACCGCCGGGGCGGGGCGGGACGCGGGCCTTGACTGACAGCTGCCTCCGCCAATCAGCGGCCGCTCTGCACGCCAAGAGCCTCTTCGCCCCGCCCCGCCGCGCTGCGCGTGCGCTCCTCGCCTCCCTCCCCTCTCGCCGCGCGGGGGATGCTGGGGGTTGTAGTTTTTTGCCTCAGGGACTTTTATGTGTGGGGTTTTTTTTAACTCTTTTTTCGTTTTTTTTTTGGTCGTAGAGCTCCAGGGTTGGGGGGGGGGAGAGGGGATACCCTGAGGCTGCACATATTGCTCATGGGGTGTTGTGGGTACAGGGCTCCATCACATATAGGGTGATGGAGCTGTGAGGCAGCTGTGGGGTGACCCCATAACATGGGGATCCCCAAAACTTGGGGTCCCATATCGCAGGGATCCTCATAATGTGGGGTCCCATAATGTGGATATCCCCATAACTTTGGTTCCCTAATGCAGGGATCCTCATAACTTGGGGTCCCATGATTCAGGGATCCCCATAAAGTGGGGTCCCATAATGAGGGGATCCCCAAAACTTGGGGTCCCATAACATGGAGATCCCCAAAACTTGGGGTCCCATAATGCGGGGATCCCCATAATGTGGGGTCCCATATTGCAGGGATCCCTCCTCATAATGTGGGGTCCCATAACACAGGGATCCCCAAAACCTGGGGTCCCATAACGTGGGGATCCTCATAACTTGGGCTCCCATATTGTGGGGATCCCCGTAACCTGGGGTCCCATATTGCGGGGATCCCATTAACCTGGGGTCCCATAATTCAGGGATCCCCATAACGTGGGATCCCATATCACAGGGATCCTCATAATGTGGGGCCCCATAATGAAGGAATCCCCAAAACTTGGGGTCCCATATTGCGGGGATCCCATTAACCTGGGATCCCATAATGTGGGGATCCCATTAACCTGGGGTCCCAAAACACGTGGATCCCCATAACTTGTGGCAGCCTCATAATTTGGGGTCCCGTACCAGTTTCACACCCACATCCCATCTTCGTGGCCCCACAGCCCGGCTGTATCAACCGGGGGCCGCACCACACGCCTCCAGCAATGGGGTGGGGACTCACGGGGAGCACCCCACAGAGAAACCGGGGCCCCAGCACCCTGCCCCAAACGCCGCGGGTGACTCAGGCGAGCGCCCGTCCCCACGCAGGGCAGGGCGTCCCCTCCCTGCTGACTAACGCCGGGTGCACCACAGACACCGCCAGGCCCTCCTCCGGGGCATCCCGCCTCCATTTCCTTCCTCATCCCTTTCTTTGGGGTCACCCCTCACGGGGGGTTTGAAGATGAGGAGGAGGAGGAAGGCCGCCATGGCAGGCCCCACGCAGCCATCCCCGCACGCCCATCTCCCTCTTGCGGGAGGAAGGCGCAGGGCAGGGCGGGCGAGGCCGAAGCACAGGGGTGCAGCACCCCGGGGTGATAAAACACCAAACCACGGCCACCGAGGTGGCAACCCCAACCCTAAAACAGGGCCAGGAGGATGGGGACATCTTCACTGAGCCACAGCCACCAAGGCGGCAACCCCGACCCTAAAACAGGGCCAGGAGGACGGGGACACGGGGACATCTTCACCGCTTGCTCCGCAGCAAACCAGATTTTTTTGGGGATGCGAGCTCGTGCTGCAGCCCCGTGCTGGTTTCTAGGGCAGCACACAAATCCCCCCGGAGCCCGAATTTCCCTTTTTTTAGAATTTCTAAGCTTTTTCCCTCACCCCACAGCCAGGCAGCGAGCCCGGCTGGGCCCCCCTCCAGCCCCCCCAGCACACAGGCAGGCCGAGCGATGCTTTCTGCTTTTATTCAATTAATGCAGCAATCTATACAAGAAAAATAATAATAATAATAATAATAATAATAATAATGAAACCATGAAATTCCAAACCCTGACAGTGAAGAACCAAATTCTTCCGAAGAATCGACCGGAATTAAAAGTTTTTTCCCCCCCCGCGCCGGACTGTACATAAAATAATCTCTGCTCCATTTACAGCGTTTCACACAGTTACTTCTCGTCTCTCAAACTTCAGAACTGTACAACTTTGTTTACAAACCACGCTTTTTCCTAGGAAAAGCTGACGGAAAAAAATATTGCCACTTTGTTTTTTATTTTTTTTTATTTTATTTGTAACAAAAAAAAAAATTAGAATATTAAAAAAAAATAATAAAAGAAATTAAAGTCAGCCAGAACTTGAATTGTGGGCAGGGGTGTGGGAAGGAGCAGAGATGCGCTCCTCAGCTCGAGGTTTCTCCTCCCCAGGAAAGGGAAGGTGTTGGGAACACCAAAGAGGGGGTCTGGACATTGGGGCCGTGCTCAGAGCCCCCCTCCAGGACGTTCCCAGCTTTGGGTTGGGGCTCGGACACCCCCAAGGATGAAGGAGGGAGCTGGCAGCCCCGCACCCCAAAATCTCTCCTGGGATGATGGTGTCGGGGTTGGGCCAGCGTGGGGCTGGAGGTGGCAACCTGGGGCTTCCCTGATGGAGGCTGGTTGTGGGGTTTGTGGGGACCTGCTCCCCGATCCGCCACCCCGTCCCCAGGCCAGCTCCCCTCTCCCTGCCCCCAAATCTCTCCTTTTCTTCCAGGGGACAGGCTGAGCCCACGCAACCAACTCAAGAAGTCTTCTCCGAATGCAGGCAAGAGCAGCGAACCCAAATTCCTCCCTTGGCAGAAGGGACAGCGCCCACCTCCCTCTCCTCCGTTCTCGGGGTCTGGGCTGTGGGTTTGGGGTGTGTGGGGCCGTCGGGGCGCACGCAGCCGTACTGAGCAGGATACACAAGGACACGCTGCGGGTGATGGAGAGGAGCACGGAGCCAAACAAGGGGAATAAAGCCAAAGGGGGTCAGGCCAGGGAACGAGCCCATCCCACAGAAAGGATGGGGAGAAATTTCGCCTTTTTTTTTCGCCTGACCCGAAGCCCGCACGCAGCCACGACAAAGAGGAGTTGGGCACAGCAGCATTTTGGAGCCACAGTTTTACCAAACGGGGCACAGTAAAGGATTTGGACAGCTGGATCCGTGCGGAAAAAAAAAAAAACGCATCTTCTGGTTTCAGATCAAGGTTTTACCCCGACGTTGTTCAGTGCAAAAAAAAGAGTTAAAAACCCACATTATCTACACATGTACAACCGCGTGTATAGAAAATGTCTGTACGAGGGGGAGAGACGGGCTGCCTGCGCGCTGGGAACTCCTCGCCCACGAGATGCTCGGGGTCAGACGGGGGTGGTGGTGGAGCCCCAAGCAGGCAGCTCGGAGACTCGAAGCGAAACGGAGCAGGGGAGGGACCCCGGGGAGGGATTGCAGCGCCGGCTCGGACCCACGGCACAGAAATGGGGTGGGGGGAACGGGAGGGCAGAGCTCCCGGAGATGGCATGCGGGAACACCAGAACCCGAGGGGGCAGGAGGGCTGCCCGTGCCCCTACAGACTGCATGGGGATGAGGTGATGAAGTGAGACCTCGGGATGCCTCGTTTGGGTTTCTGAGGACGTATACCTCATCCCACAGGAATCACGGAGCTCCCACAGCTTGGGGAAGGAGCCCCGGGGAGGGAAGTTGCCTTCATTGGGAGCTGAGACAGCGCAGAAAGGAATGGGTGATGCAGAGGTAGGCGTAAAATGGGGAGGGGGGGCAGCAGGCTGCACAGAACGGGGACCTTGGGCGATGCCAGCAACATGAGCAGCACAGCCGAACACCACAGAGGGCAGGGGGCACGTCCAGGGTGAGTTCAGGAAGAATTGGGAGCAGCCGTGCCCAGGCATCCCGCGGGCAGGTCTCTGGCTTGCTGAAGATGCCAGCCACCAAGAGGAGAAGAGATCGCTGCTCCCTGCAGGGAATGCCAAGCTCTCCAGAACGGGGTTTCGCAGCAAGCTAAGAAGGCAAGGAACGCTTTCAAATGCTCAAAACGTGAAATTTCAGCGGGTCAGAGTGATGCTGAAGGTGACAGCGACCTCCTGGGCACTGCCGTGGCTGCCGGACCCAGCAGTGTCCCCAAGGACAGGCAGGGAAGGGAACGGACACCGAGACCCCGATGGCAGCAAGCGTGCTGGATTGTTAAGGAACAGCGCCCGTTTTTTTGTGTTTTTTTGTTTGTTTTTTTTTGACTGGGAGCTCCGCAAGACAGCAGCAAACGGGTTTCAAAATATATTACATCTTTTTATTGCCAAGCGTGCGGACCATGAAGTGTGGGGGGAACGCGGCGCTCCGGAAAAACTACAGCTTGAGGGGCGGGCAAAGCGGTAAAAATTTTAAAAAGAAGACTGCTCCTTACGATCTGCCAACACTGGGGTTCGAAAGAATCAACCGGAGGAAGTTCCTTAAAAGCAGGGCTCTAAATACGGCGTTGGGCCCCAGATTTGGAAGGCGCCCAGGCTGGGAGAAGACGAGGAAGGAGGCAGAGCTCCTAGCGTTACCTCCCCAGGGCCACGCGCCTGCTGCTGCTCAGCATTTCCCCTGGCAGCCCCAAACCCCCCAGCCCCAGGACAGGCAGAGGGAGGAGCAGGGTGTGGGTGGGTTATTTCTGATGAGTTATTTCTGACGAGTTATTTCTGATGAGTTATTTCTGATGAACGCACTGCCCCAGAGCCAGCCTCGGAGGGCGGATGGAGCGCAGCCGAGGTGCCCGGCTCCCCGGCAGCCCCCTGCCAGCTCCTCTCCCCGCACCCAGCAGGGGCAGGGTGTTATAAAGCAGCTCGCCACGCTGCCAGGAGGCAGAGGAGAGCTTTTATTAGGGTGCCCCAAGCCCAGCATCCTCGCAAGCACACCCCTCGCCCGCTCCTCTTTGCTGTCCCCAGGACGCAGCGCGCACTCGGTGCCGATGCTGCAGCCCCCGGGCTCCACCACGGACCTCAGGGCGATGCTGGCCTGGCCTCAGTGAAATCAGCCAAATTTTCTCCCTCCTCAACCAAAAAACCTGGCGGGGAGAAGCCAGGGGTAAGCACATTCTTCTCGGAGAGGGCAGCCCCGGGGACACGAGGCCGTGAGCCCAAGCTGGCTCGGGAAGAGGGACCGGAAAGAAAAAACCTACGGCATTTAAAACTGGTACTAAAGTGCAACACAAATGTCCTAAACCCTTTGTAATCAACGCAGTAAGAGGGGTCTGCAAAGCTCCAAACTTCCAGTTACTGCAGGGCACACTCTTAAAACACAACCCAACGACAACTAGGTAACAGCAGACCGAGGAGCCCCTTTGGTGAAGCAAGGAATACGAGGCCACCACAGAGAAATTTCAGCTCCTGGGGTCTAACATCATATTTAGAACATTTGGAAAGGAAGTTAAAGCGAAAAAAAACAAAAAAATAAAACAAAAAAATAAAACAAAAATACAATTCTTGAATCTCGCGCAACGAAACAGTTAAACTTTTTTGGTGTTTTCAACAGAAATCCCAACAGACAGCCTGGCATCACTTTATCTGCTTCCTAAGGGAGAGATGCCCGTCTGACCCATGACTCAGGCCACCGCGTGCACTGGACACGTTCCATCCTCACATATGTCTCAGCATTCCTCCATTCATAAAAACAAATCGCTAGATCCTTCCTGTTTACTCTTCAGCCTGAAAGGAAAAACCAAAACTGAAGCTAGATGGAAGATAGCCAGAGGGAGGAGAAAGTTTTCACAGACTGGAGGCCAATCTCAGCAGCTCCGCGAGCCCGGAAAGTGCATTCCTCAGTGTCGCCTCATTTTAACTTTCCTGGCCGGGCTGCCGTCCTCCTCCTCCTCATCACAGTCCTCCGTGTACTCGTAAGACCTTCGCCAATAGTTCTCGGAGCTGAAGTTGCTCCGTCTCCTATGTTTTGGTAAGAGGACCGAGCGCCTGTTCTCCTCTTTATCCATTTCTAGAATCCGTGGCCTATGGAAAGAGAGAGGGAGGGAGGGAGAGAGGGAGTGAGAACACGTCCAGAACGGGATCGAAGCGCTCCTGGGGTGGACACCATCTGGATTTCTGCATGCTTTGAGCACCGTGAGTGATTTTTTCCACCCTGCTCTCCCGGTGCTCCGTTCCGGGCTCTCGGCAGAGCAGGAGCAGCTCGCCAAGCTGCACGTCCCACGGAAAGGCTGAGAATTTGGCTCTGAGTGGTGCGAGCCCTTCGCCTCCAAACAGCCTGGCTGCCCCTCTTTAGGTGCAGCCCCTAACCCCGTGGGGTCTGGGCCCTACAGAGGGGTCTCTCTTCCCTCCAGAGGGGCTGTGAGGATTAAACCACAGCTCCGAGCTCCCGTGTCCTCCTGCTGTGCTCTCCAGCATCAGCACAACGCAGTCAGTACTTGGAGGAAGCTGCCCCTGCGCTCAGCTCACAGCAGGGCCGTGCTGGCAGGATTTTATCCCAGTTTATTTTATCCTAGGTGGCAAATGAGTTCCGCTCTGACAGATGCTGCTGCCTGTGCTATTCACCTACATTATGCTGGAGTCTTTTAGGTTAAAAGGAGAGAAAAACACGTTTTTGGTACCCGTCTGCTGCAGGGGTCTGTGCTGAGCCTGCTCTCCAGTGAGGTGTCTTCTCCTTCAATCAGCCTTTCGCCTTTTTTTTAACCAGAGAAGGGATTGTGCAGGACAAATCTGATCACACACAGCCCGCTGCAGGCTCGTTTCGCTCGGTGATCAATGTGCCCAGTCATCCTGAGCCCTGCTGAATGAACGCTGCTCATAAACACGCCGTCCCCACCCTCCTCCTTCAGCAGGACAGGTTGAAACACGGGCTGGGACCGCACAGCAGCCGAGCCCCACCACTTTTGGGATCTGCACGAGGTGCAGAGAATGCCCTATCAATTCCTGGGAGGCTCGGGAGGCAGATAAGAGCAGGAAGGACAGCTGGCAGGGTGGCTATCACTCCTGGCTATCAGCACAGACGCGTGAGCAAGGTGGTGTTTGAGAGGAGCCTCGCTGCAGAGCTCGAGCTGTCTGCAGCCTCAGCAAGGAGCTCTTGTAGGTCAGGCTGAGGCACCCACGCAGTCTGGTTGCACGCACAAATACACACAGCTCCGGAACCAAAAGAGATCCAAGAAGCTTCCCAAAGAGTCCTTTCCCCTGCCCAGTTCTCTCCGACTGCTCTCGTGATGCACTTTAACACGGCTGCGCGCAGGTTGCTCGGCAATGGAGGTCAAAAATAATTAGCTGCAGGGAAACTATTGTTCTGAATGACTGCGTTATCAAGAGGCAGGCAAATCTATTGCTTCTTCATTATGCCACTCACCGGATAAACAATGTAAGCTGCTTACAGCCGGGGCTTAGCCTCTGCAAGCCTCGGAGGAACGAATAAAGCAACGAATAGAGCAGATCTGCGTGCCACGGGAAGCACCTGGCAAAGAGGTGCGAGCCAGGATGCTCTAAGTGTGCCTACAACCTTTCATCAGAGGCCAGGAGCCTCGGAGGTTCACTGGCCAGCTCCTTGCTCCCGGGAGAGCCCAACCTACCTGTGAGCAGCGTCGGGGTCTGCTTTGCGATGGGACCGCTTGGGTTTCAGGATCTGGTCCCTGTTGTTTCCCGACAGGCGGTCGGAGGCGTAACCTGGCGGCAACACAGAGCTACCCAGCGATTTTGTTTCCAATCGAGGGGCATCTAGCCTCGTTCTGAAAATTAAAAAAGAAAAAAAAAACGTAGTATTTGCAAGGAGTTTCTACAGAATTGGTACAGGAGACGTTTGTCCTAGATGCACTGCAGCAGAACCCTCAATCCCTGCCACACAGCTCCAGAAAAGAATCAGGATGGTTACGCTCAAAGGCTCAAGCTGCAGTTCTCTTGCACTTGATGCTTTAATTTTTAACCTTTACTACATTGGTCAGAAGACAGAGAAAGGTTTAGGGGTCAGCGAAGCCACGAGGTGAGGCTGGGAGGACAGGAGGGGCGCTGAGCTCCCTGCAATCCCAGTGACAGGGCATTGAGAGGAGGTGCTGGGATCACGGTGACTCCTCCACAACTCGCAGCTCCAGTTCAGCCACCTGGGAGATGCACGGAAAGATCCATCACCACCTCCACCAGTAACAACCCAGTAACAACCCAGTAACAGCCGCTGCTCTCTGGAAACTCCCTCCTCTCTCTGAGCTCTCGTGTGCCGGTGCTGTCACCACCTCCCGGTGCTGTGCAGTTACTGGCAGCCACTTAAAAGCGCTCCAGAAATCAATTTCAAAACAGAACGAAGCCTAGGAATTGGGAAAGAGTGCTAAAAGGTGGTGCCAGGGCTCCAGGGTGCCGATTTCGGGAGGATCCGTGCGTGTTTCTGGACAGAAAGGCACCCTGGCGCTGCTCCTGCAGCCTCCCTCCACAGGATTAGGGGTGAACACCAAAATTGGGCTTTGGGAAAGGAAGGGGAGCAGCACTGCGTGTCCCCTGCTGTGCAGCCTCAGCTTTTCAGGCAGGTTTTTGAGGCAGCTGCTGCCAGGCTGGAGCCTGCACTCATCTGCAAAGCCATCCTGAGCTGTTCGCAGCTCCGGGACTGGAGCCAGGCCAGCCAGAGCTCCAAAAGCATTGCGGATCCTGCCCCGGACACCTTGGGAGGTTTATTTCAAATTAAATATATTTCAGATATAACAACTGCAGGCCTTGCAATTCAAAACCCACCAAATGCACTGCGAGGGTCGGAGAGCACCAGCCACGCTGCGTCACCACAGAGGCGAGCTGCAGGAGCAGGCACCAAGAGGTAAAACCACCACAGCTGCACCAAAACGGGCAGCAAATTACCCAGCAAAGCTCCAGCTAAATAAAATAACTCCCAGCTCTCTACAAACGCCTGCAGGAGCCCTGTAAAAGGATTTCCAAGCCCTGCTCGAGGAGGTCTCGCTTCTCCCCCTACCTCCCAGCTGCCCTCTGGCAGCAGCTCAGGAAATCCAGAGCATGGCTCCACTCCTTCCTCTGCTCAGAGTGCTCCCAAAACTCGCCAGCCCCGCGCTCGGAGGTGCAGGAAACACCGTAAATACCATCCCCCTGCAGCTCTCCAGGGCTCCTGACCTACTTGGGAACCGCGCCGCTCTCAGGCGTGCCGAAAAAGCCGGCCACTTCCCCGGCACGCACGGCTTTGTCCTACCACTGCCAGCAAAAAACACTCCCGGAACCACGTGCCCAGAGCGAAGGCAAGAAGGGATCCAGATTCTGGAGCCCAGCACGCTCTGGCAGCCAAATATCCCAAAATTTCCCAGCTCCTGGATGCAGTTTTTACGCTGCGGTGCGCCCACAGGGTACGCGAGCCCTCTGGCAAGCTGCGGGCTGCTGCCTCTCCCCAGGAAGGAGGCAAAGATGAGTTGTACGAGGTCAGGGGCTGCTCCCAAACCTCGCGTGCCAGCAGCAGAGGCGGTTTTCCTGCTTGCATAACTCCCTGGTGCAGCCTGCACCCGCTGCAGCTCGGGGCGCAGCCTTTGGTGGATGCACCCCGCGTATCCACCGGGGCTGCTCAGCCCCACGGAGATCACCCAAAAATAATCACCGAGGGGTTTTATCTGGATGAACAGCACCCAAGCCACGAGCATTTCCACTTACAAACACTTCTTGACAGAGGAATTGCTGTTAATAACTTCTAAGGCAGGGTAAACGTGGCTCCACGTGGTGCACACACGTTTTTTAGCCCTCTAGTAAAAGGAACCGACACAAAAAAGTCATTTCTGGGTAGAGGAGAAGATGACACTGGGGGTTTTGGGGAGGTTCCCCCTCAATTATCTCCTGAAACAGCAGCGCCTGGCCTCCCAGCTCCCAGAACCGGTCACTAAATTCAACACCAGCGCCTCCACTCCCTCATCCCCAGGAGCTGAAAGCCCTGCTACCAAGAAATCCCTCTGCTTTACGGATGATTCTTCAGCATCAGCTTCAAAGCACTGCCCAGGGAACTTCTGCACATGGCTATGGGATGCTCAGACACCTGCACACGCAGCCCGGAGCACGGGAATTTGAGATCCCAGCTGCTTGGAGCTGGGCACCCAACAAAATCCAGCCAGGAACAGCGCCTGCAAACGGGCAGCGAGACCTACAAGATTTAAGATCGACCCAGCGCATCACCGAGCAGGGCTTTTTTTTTGTTAAAGTGTTGCTTTAAAAAAAAAAATCACAGCATTTTAAATCACCATTTGTGATTTAAAAAAATCACAGCAGCAGCCCGGGGCTCCAACACTTACTTGCGAAGGATGATGACAGCTCTCCTCTCCTTGATGTCCTGCGGTCGGATGCAGTGCGTGATTTCGTCGGCTGCGTATCCACTGACAACAGAAAGAAAAAGACACTGTGAGAAAGGCAGAGGGCAGGGGCAAAAAGTGGCTGCAACAACAAATTTTGGCCACTTGGTTCCCAAATTCCACCACGAATTCCTCCCCCAAACACACCGTTCCCCAGCAAACTGCCAGAAAGGAAGAAACTTCAAGGAAATTGCACCATTCAGGCCTTTTTTTTTTTTTTTTAAATTTAGACTCAATTTTTTTTAGCACGCACCAGAGAAAATGCCACCTGCCAGCACATCACGAAGTGAGTCGCGTTGAAAAGGAGTTTCCGGAGCGTAAATTCAGCTTGTTTGTTTACGGGAGCTTTACCAAGAGAGCAGATCACAGCAGAAGGCAAATCACAAAATCACCAAATCACCGCGTGGCTTTCTCATGCGCCCGGGCACCTCCATCCCCGGGGATGGTCATATCCTGCTCCTGGAGCCTCCCCAGGGCTCGCAGGTGGGTTCCAGCCCCGATTAATGTGTTAGGGGAGGAGGGGGGCACACTGAGAGCCAGGTGCCCCAGGAGCTGTGTGCTTCATCCCCACCTCATGGGCACGGGACTTGCAAGAGACCGGTGTTTTTTTTTTCCTCGTGGCTGTTTCTGTTGCTCGGCACCATGCCTGGAGCCCAGCGCAGCGTGCAAGATCGCAGCCTCGGGGTGGAGGTGAGGTGATGGCGAGCAGCCAGCACACCTGCGGGTGAGCACCCACCCTGCTGGGAGCACCACGAGCTCATTGCACCCCTCGCATGGGTGCTAACGAGCTGGGCTGGGCGCTGGGCATGCCCCCTACCTGCTGCTGCCACAGAATCTGTTCCCAAGAGCCTTCCAGAGTCCAGCACGGGGAAGGAGAAGCCAAACGCCTCCCAAAATAGCTGAGAAAGGCAGGGAGGTGTTGGGGTGAAGGCGTTGGGATCTGAGGGAGCCAGCACGCCCCTGCTCTAGGTTAATAACCCCGCAGAGAGCTCACGGAGCCTCCCCGGGAGCGGATCCACGCGGCTGTGGATCCGCAAAGCGGTGCCGGAGGCCACCACGGCGCTTCCCAGGGGCAGGGGTTTGGCTTCCAAGGCAGCCACAGCACGCCCTGCCTCGCACCATGGCTACAGAGTGTTTCATGTGGGATGCCAGAGCCCGAGCTCAGCATTTCCTCCAGCAGCTCCTTCCCTCGGAGGAGCCTCAGCTCCCCCTGCTCGCCCTCGGCACGGCCGGGGAGCCGCTGTGCGCACCCCCCTGCCACGAGGCTGCAGCAGCCGGTGAATTTGGGATGCTCGGGGGACAACCCAGAGAATCTGGTCTCCTCCATGGCCACGATAGGATCTCCTTTCTCTGGTTACTCACCCAGCCACTCGCCTGGAAACGCACACCTCTCGCCTGGAGACTGCTCGGAGGAGGGAGCTGGGGGGCTGAGACCTGAGCGGTGGGAGAGGGGCTGCTGGGGGGCCCCCCCTGCCCTTTAGGGTGCCGCAGAATCGTGCAGCATCATGCAAAGGGGCTTTAATAATGCTCCGTTACATCCCAAGGATCTCATTAATATCCCCCTCGTTAACATTTGGCTCAGCACATCCTCACCGGGCAACCCTGCTGCCCTGCTGGGGAGGGACAGCTCAGCCTGCACCTCGCCACGTCCCGAGATGCGCCCTGCACACCCCTCCAGCACGGGATGTGCACGGGAACTGCTCATAAACAGAACAAGAATATTTTTTAGTGGTTCTGCTTGGTGCCAGCATGAATTTCTCACCCATTCCCTGCCCCTATCACGTCCCGGTGATGGCCAAGGGACAGACACTGGAACAAGACACTCTGAAGAACATCCCTGGTGCACCCGCAGGTGGTTTTTATTTTCCCCCCTAACCGTTTGTCCAAACCCCACTCCTGGGCGGACAGGCCAATCCCCCATCTCCTCTGCAGCAATGACTGATGCTTATAAATTATCAAATTCCCTTCTTTTTTTAAAAAAACAGGGGGGAAAAAAATAAATCAGGGGGCTGGGCCTGGGTCCTCCAAGGGCAAATCAGCACCGGGGAGGCAACCGGAGAGAAAATCCCTTGCTGGAGGAGTGCAGGGCCCTGCGGACAGCCTCCAGGTGGCTCAGCTTTCATCCTGCTGGCGAGGTGAGCCCCTGTTCCACCCCAAAAACTCTTTGCAAGGACATTTTTCCAACCCTAACCTCTCATTCGGGGTGTGAAGGTTTTACAGCTCGAGCTTGAGGCCGGTGCAGGATTTGCAAAGAGCCCGGCCTGCCTCGCACCGAACACCTGAGCCTGGCGCAGAGTTTAACTGGGAGCGTCCCCGGATCCCAAAAAAACCCGAGCGAAGCAGAACATCGAGGGCAGGACGTGGGGAAAACCCTTCTGGAGGGCACGGGGTGGCTGCGAGGCCGGGAGAGGGATGAGCAGAGCTGGGATGGGGAGCAGGACATGCAGGGCTTGGGGAGAGATGGAGAAAGAGGGGGGAAGGAGGAACCCGGGGGCTTCCCCATGAGCCTCGCGGTTTCCACAGGGTACCCACGGCTTCCCCGGGAAGGAGGCCCCTGACCCGGCAGGGTTTGAATCCCAAATATCACAGGCACGCTGCTTCTGTCTCCGCCGTTTCCCTATCTCCAGGGCAACTGCTTGCTGCGAGGAGAGAGAGGAGCTGGCTCCACCAGGAACTGCACCCCGAGACCCTCCCCGAGACCCCCACGTCCTCCTTCTCCTGTACTGGATCCCATCACCCCGCATCCCTTGGCAGAATCTCCCTCCGGTGAGTGCCATCTGCCCAAATTTTGCCCAAATTGCAAAAATCCCGATTTTAGAGGCTGTTATTTGGTGGAAAGCAGAACAGCCCAGCACCTAACCCAGCACCCAACGCCATCCTGGGGTCAGGAGGAACCCAACCTTCCCCTGCAGGCACCAAAACCTCTTCGTTCGCTTTGTAGGATCGCTCCAGGGAACCCCACATGGCAGGGAACGGCTCTGGGAGCCCCGAGCCAGCTCCTTCCCGGCGGATTTTAGGGACAAAAACCCACGATTGGGTTGTGGGGGAGCAGAGCAAACCCCTCTCCCTCGACCCTCCTCTGCTTGAGCCCCGACCCTGCTCCGGATGGGAATTGGGGAATTTTCCTGCGGGTTTTGGCTACCCGGGCAGGGAAATTCAAGCAGAAAGTTCTGCCGCCCGCAGTAAGCGGACACGCCGCTCCGGGATCAAATCCCTCTGACCTCTGCCCTTCTCCTGCCCCGGCCACGCTCCCCGGGGGAACAAGAAAATGTTTTCTTAGCCTCGGGGGAGCCTTTCCTGCTGGCGCGGATCCTCCCGCAGCCTGGCTCCAAAGCTGCTGAGCTACAGGAGTTACCTGGGCTGGGGGGGACCTGTTAATGTTTGTGCAGTTTTCCCCCGATAAATGCTCCGAGAAATCCCGGTCATAATTACCAGGATGCCCCCAGACACCATGGGGAGGGGGAAAATTCCTCAATTCCTCCCCGTGCCCCGCGGCGATCGCTTCCCGAGCGGAGACACGGGGTTGTGTTACGGGCAGGGAGCCCTAAAACCCACCCAGGATGTTCACCAGTCCCCAAAAAAAGACAAAAAGCAACAAAAAACACCCCAAGTTGGTAGCTCCGAGTGCTGTTGGCACAGCCCGAGCTGTCCCCGCTCCTGGCAGCGAGCACTCTGACCTTCAGGACGCGGCGACGAGGCTGGGGATGTGGCCACGAGGGGCCGGCGGCACCGGCAACCCCGGCACCGACCCTTTAAGCACGGGAACGAGGAGCACGAGGGCTCCACGTGCCCACCGGGAGGTGACGGGGGGTGAAGGAGGAGACGTTTGGCAGCCCCAAAACGGCGCCCGGCTGCGTGACCTTGGGCAGGGTCATTTCACCTCCCCGGGGACAGCCCCAAATTGGGGGCTGCGCCGCGTCCCCGCTGTCCCCATCCCGCAGGAGCTCCCCGTTGGCAGCATGGGGAGCAAATAACTCCGGATCCCATCTCCTCCCCGATAGGATCACCCCAAAATATCATCCCACCCGCAGCACCGGGCACCCCCAGCCCCATCATCCCATTGCCCGGGGACCCCGCGTGCCCGCAGGGTGCCAAAAAAAAAGCTCGGCCACCAGCGGGGCGCACGTCCCCGTGGTTTTGGGGTCGGCGAGGCGTTACCTGAGCACCGTGACGCTGCCCCTCTTGACGGGCAGGAAGAGGACGGGCTCCGACACCCTGATGGGTTTGAACTGGAACTTGCAGCCGAAGCAGAGCGCCGAGTCGCTGAAAAAGGAGACGGAGACGATGGGCCTCTCGAAAATATGGATGGGGTCGACGTGGGAGACGATGCAGCCCCCCGGCTGGTAATCGTTGATCACGGCGCTGTTGACGAAACCCTCGGGGATCACCCGGTGCTCCACCAGCTTCCTGATCACCAGGTCGTGCACCCACTCGGGGATGGCATCCACCTCTCCCCGCGGGTACAACCTCTCCTGCCCGGGCCCCCTTCTTTGCAGCTGCGAGCCGTAGGTGTAACCCTCCCCGAAAAAATATTTATTACGTAGAGGCGCCCGGTCCACCGTGTGCTCCTTGTAGAGCCCTTTCTCCGCCCGGGACACCACGTCCTCGATTCGTGCCTCGATTTTGGCGCATTCCTCGGCGCTGAAGAGGCGAAGCTGCCGGATGCCGCTCTTCACCTTGCGGGCTTCCTCCTCTTCCTCCTTCTGCTGCTGCTGCTGCTGCTCCTCGTAGTCGCTGGGCTCCGAGGCCGAGTCCTCGTGGTAGCGCCGCTTACGTTCGTAGGGTGGGGGCTCCGCGGGGGGGTCCCGTGGCCCTTTAGGGTTGTCCCGGTAAGGCAGCATGGACTTGAGCTTCTCCCGCAGGTCGGTGTAGCCGCTGCCGGCCATGGCCGTGGCCCCCCCGTCACCGCCCCGCTGCCGCCGGGGACGCGCAGCCGCTGCTCATGGCACCCGCCGGCCTGCGGGGAGGGAGGCAAAAAACAAAATGGGGGGGTTAGAGGGGAAATCGAGAGGTTTTGGGACCCCCCCGGGTGTGTGTTGCGTGGAGGAGGGTTATAGGGTTTTGTGCTGGAGGGGTTGGGGGGGGTACTGGGGTTGGGATTTGGGGGTTTGGGGTGGGGTGGGGTGGGGGCACCAGGAGGGTACTGGGGGTATGGGGGGGGTACTGTGGGGGAAAATTGGGGGTACAGGGGGGTTACTGGGGGGTACTGGGAGGGGTACCGGGGGTATGGGGGGGGGGACTGGGGGGAAAATCAGGGGTATGGGGGGGGTACCAGGAGGGGTACCGGGGGTATGGAGGGTAACAGGGGGGGGGTATTGGAGGCTATTGGGGGGGCTACTGGGGTCTATGGGGGGGTTGTTGGGGGTTATAGGGGGTAGGGGGGTGTTACCGGGGGTATGGGGAGCGTACCGGGGCACATGGGGGGGTTACCGGGGGTATGGGGAGGTGTGGGGGGGGTACCGGGAGGTATGGAGGGGGTGGGACCGGGGGTAGAGGGGGGGGATTAGAGGGTCTGGGGGTGGTACTGGGGGTCTAGGGGGGGGTTACCGGGGTGGGTATAGGGGGTCTGGGGGTTACCGGGGGGGTATAAGGGGTCTAGGGGGGTTACCGGAGGGGTTATAGAGGATCTAAGGGAGTTACCGGGGGGGGGCTATAGGGGGTCTGGGTGCTACCGGGGGTCTGGGGGCTACCGGGGGGGTATAGGGGGGTCTAAGGGAGTTACCGGGGGGGTATTAGGGGTTACTGGGAGGGATACAGGGGCTACCGGGGGGGATACAGGGGGTCTGGGGGGGGTTACCGGGGGATATTGGGGGGTCTGGGGGTTACCGGGGGGTTACCGGGGGGTTCCCGGGGGTCCCAGCCGCCCCCTCCCTCCCCCTCAACTCACGGCCGAGCCCGGCAGCGACGGTAACGGGCGGCGGTAACGGCGGCTCCGCGACGAAACGACGACAACGACGAGAAACCGGTAACGGGCGGAGCGTTAACGGCGAGGCCCGAAGCTCCCCCGGGCCACAGCTCAAGCGGCGGCGGCGGCGGCGGCCCCGGTTCGGTGCCGTGCCCGGCCCGCTCCCATGGCGGAGGGGCCCGGGGGGGGGGCACCGGGACCGGGACCGTGAGGGGAGGGGAAGGGGGGGGGGGGCCCGGGGGTCGCGCGCAGCCGTTCCCGCGGCGCGAGCGGCGCCTACGTCACCAGCCCGACATCCCCGGGCCGCCGCGGGGCCCCGCCCCCTCGCTCTTTCCGGTCCCGCGCATGCGCGCGCGAGGCGGGTGAAGCCGCCGCCCTTCTCTCTCTCGCCCTTTTCGCTGCCCTTACCCGGCACGCCCTTCTTCCGCCCTCACGCCGAAAAGGGGAGGAGGGGATTGGTCGAGAGGGGGAAAGGGGAGGGATGGGGAAGGGGGAGGAGGGAGGTGATTGGGTGGTGAGCGCGGGGGCCTCGCGGGCGCTGAGGGTGGGAGGGGAGTGGGGGTGGGGGTGGCCGTGGAGGTGCCTGAAGGGAGAGCCCGCCCCCCTCCTCAAGGGGGGAGGGGAAATTGAGGGAGGGGTGGGGGGTTAGGGGGGGAAAGGGGAATTAGGGGGGTTGGGGGATAAAGGGGGGATCTGGGGGGTTGGGGGGGGAATGGGGGGCTGAGGAGGGGTGGGGGGATGGGAGGGATTAGGGGGGATTGGGGGGGATTTGGGGGATTAGGGGGAATTGGGGAGGGGGGTGGGGAGGATCTGGGGGTGGTCGGGGGGGATAAAGGGGGGATCAGGGGGTCTGGGGGGGATTGGGGGGCTGAGGAGGGTTGGGGGGATTGAGGGGATTAGGGGGAAACTGGGGGGATTGGGGGGATTAGGGGGAATTGGGGGGGCTAAGAGGAGCTGGGGGGGGATCAGGGGGGCTGGTAAGGGCCGGGGGGCTGGGGGAAGGGGGGTCAGGAGGGGCTGAGAGGGGCTGAGGGGACTAGGGAGGGATTTGGGGGGGCTGGAGAGGGATTAGGGGGTCTTGGGGGGGGGCTGGGAGGGATTAGGGGGTTTGGGGGGCTGGGAGGGATTAGGGGGGCCGAGGGGTCCCCATTCGGCACCCCCACTGTCAGCGAGCGCAGCACAGACACAGACACAGGCCCAGGGGGGCAGCCTTGTATCAAATCCTCGGGGGCACAGCCCACGGAGGGGCACAAGGGGGGGATACAGCAGCCTGGGGGACCCCATTCCCAAACCCCAAAACCCTCCCAAAACCCCCCAAAATCCCCCCTCCAGGTCCATCCAGCGCTGGGGGGGTCTCAGAGCAGGGTGATCTCGCTGGGCGGCAGCGTCAGCCTCTTCTCCCGCGCGCCCAGCAGCCTCTCCACGTGCGCGGCCACCACGCGGCACAGCTCCAAGCCCTGCGGGACACCCCAAAATGTGTCCCGTCCCCCCCAAAAAATACACCCTGGGGTGTCCCTGGGGTGCCCCTACCTGCTCCAGCTGCAGCTGGGTGATGCCCTGCGCCAGCAGCTCCCCCAATGTGATCTCCACGTAGGGGGAGCTGGAGCCGGGGCTCGGCCGCCGCGTCCGCGTGGCCTGGATCTCCTTCAGCGAGAATTTGGCCACCGGCTCCTATGGGGAAAGGAATTTGGGGGGGGACAACAAGTCCCCAGGTCCCCCACTGGCTCCCCAAGGAGTGGGTGCCCCAGCAAAGCGGGTGCAGGAGGAGCTAGGGACGGGGTGCCAAATTTTTAGGGGTCCCCACGGTGCTGGGAGAGGGACGCCAGCCCGTTTTAGGGCCGCAGGGGATGGGACCGCGGGGATCCCCCCGTCTGCAGCCCCCCTCCACCTACGTGGCTGTCCTTGCTGAGGAAGTTGAGGCCGTTCTGGTTGACGGCCAGGATGCAGGGCGAGGCGATGGCGTTGTTGCTGCAGCTCTGGACGTAGAAGAAGGACGAGCCGAACAGGGGGTAGGCGCTCAGCAGCCCTGCGGGGCGGACGACGGGGGCTCCGTGGAGACCCCAAAATACCCACGGAGGAGCCTCGGGGTGGCATCGTGTCCCTGTCCTGATCTTTATCCCCATCCCTGTCCCCATCCTGCTCACCCAGGAACTGCGCCCTGGCTTGGTGTGCGCTGAGCGCCTGGGCTTGCTGCGCGTGCTGGGTCACCGCGTGGAGCCAGGACTGCGCCGTCAGCAGCTGGAAGAGCTGCGGGGGGACGTAATCCTGCACCTCCCTCCTGCGGGGACACAGAGGATGAGGCCAGCTCTGGTTCGGGGGGCTCCCAATCCCCACGGGATGGGGGCTCCCGGCCGTGTCCGTACGCGGTGGGGAGCCGGTGGGCGTCCTTGGCGCGGTGCTGCAGGGCGGCCAGCTTGGCCAGCTGCTGGAAATGCTGCTCGCCCAGCCTGGAGGGCGGCAGGACGGTGAACAGCCCCTTCAGGTAGTCGGGGAGCACCTGGAAAAGGTTTGGGGGGGGATACAAGACGCAGCGTGACCCCCTTGGGGATGGGGGGATAGCCAGGGGAGCCCCGTGGTGCGGCCAGACCTGGTTGTAGTGCACGGTGACGTAGAGCTCGTTGTCGAATTTGAGGGGCTGGCCCCAAACCACGCGGCGGCACCAGAAGGTGTAGCCGGTGGCCATGCGCTCCGTCTCGGTGGCCACGTCCAGGATGTATTCCCGGCGGCTCAGCGGCCGCACGGTTTGCCCTGCGTGGCCCCCGCAGCCTCAGCGTGCCGCCGAGCCCCCCTCCGGCACCCATTTGGGGTCGGGGGGCACGTCCAGCAGCCCCTCACCTCTGTCGGTGACCACGAAGAGGATGTACTCCTCAAAAGCCTCCGGGCGCTGCAGCCCCATCTCGCAGCACAGCTCCTCGATCACGTCCTGAGCCACCTGGGGCAGGGAGAACCGACCTCCAGGGATCCTTTTTTTTTATTTTTTTTCCCCAAAGCACCAAGTCCCCCAGCCTGTTGCAACCTCGGGGTGCCCTCACCGAGCCCCTCGTGCCCCCCACCTCACCGAGCACGTCTTGATCTTGAGGTGCCTCTCGATGCCGCCGGGCAGGAGGAAGAGCTGGCGCTTGGCGCTGCGCCCGGCCTGTAGGGGGGCAGGGGGTGCTTTTATCCCAGCGAGACCCCAAAAAGCACCCCAAAACACCAGGACATCCCATCCTGTGCCGGCTGCAGCGAGCCATGCTGCTCCCATAAAAGTTTGGGGCACCCTCAAAGTGCTCCCCCCCAAGGAACGTCCCCACAAAGGGCCGTGCGCCACGGTGCCATCAGCTCAGCCCCATGGGGGGCTCCTGAACCCATCAAGGTCATCCCAAATCTTGGTTGGGGGGGGGGGATCTGAAGCCCTGCCCGTGGGCACCCGGCCTCACCACCATGGCTTTGAGCTCCATGCTGCTGGGGAACAGGCTGCGGCCGCCGAACTGCAGGGTTTTCCTGAAGTTTTGCTCGCAGGCTTTGGAGATCCCTGGGGGAGACGGGGACGGGCATGGAGGCAGCAGACCCGGGCGCATGGGGTCTGTGGCACCCCGCAGGCACCAGGACAGAGCCCAGCAGGATGAGGATGACCCTTTCTGGCTCCCCTAAAGGTTCCCGGGGCGGGCTCAGCCCCTACCATGGAAAGGGAGCTCTGGGCGCCCGCTGGCACCCTGCAGGAAAGCCAGGAGGAAGGGCCTGAGCACCTCGGAGCACCTGTAGTAGGCGGTGAGGATGTAGAGCAGCCTCCAGCCCTTCTGGCAGCTGTCCCTGCAGGGAAAATTTGGAGCTGAGCCCCTGGGGCAGAGCGAGGGGGCGGCTGAAACAGCACCCACAGCCCCGGGGACCGGCACGGCACGGCTGGGTGCGGGCGACCCCAAATCCCTGGGTGTCCCCGTGGTGTCAGGGTGGAGAACTGTCCCCAAAACCAGCCTGGCTGTGCTGTCCCAGCCCAGCAGGACTCACGGCTTGGAGCTGGTGTTGTCGGTGAGCTGCTTGATGATCTGGCAGTACACCTCGTCCCGCAGCGCCTCGTGCTCCGCGCACAGCTAGGGGACAGGCACGGCTCGCTCCACGGCCGGGGACGTCCCCGCTGCCACCACCCCCATGGCACGGGGATTACCTTGAGCAGGGTGCAGACGATGTCCAGCTCCGTTTGTCCCCTCGGAGGGTGGTCGCCCATGAACTTCATCACGGCTGGGGGGGAAAAAAGGCACACGGTGACGCAGCTCGCCCCGTCCCCACCCCGGGGATGTGTGACAAACACCCCAGCCTCCCAAATTGCTGCAGGGGGGGCGATGAGGCTGGAGGAGCCACCCTATTTGTTTGTCCAGACCCTTCTCCAAGGATGGGGGTCCCACGGGGCAGGGGGTTTGGGGTTTCCTACCTTGGAAAGCCTCGGTGGCCAGCTTGCTGATGCTGCCGTCCGGGAACTCGATGAGCGATTCCTGGATGGGGACCTGGCGGGGAGAGGAGCAGCTGGAGGGGTTGGATGGGTTTTGGGGTGGCACTCGGGGTGCTCCTGAGCACGTCAGGACCTCGGGAGGACCCACGGGTGATGGTGTGACACCCCGGGCACAGGGTGGCACCCTGCGCCCTGCCACCACCCCGCACCTTGGTGAACCTCAGCATCTCCATCCCGTCGGGCCCTTCCTTTTTCCCCTTCATCCCACAGGAATCCCTAGAAGAAAAAGGGGCGAGGGGAGCATCTGGGCACGGTTGTCCCCCCCTGACAGGGTGTTACGGGGTGTCCCCATCCCTGCACTCACGTGGTCCCGCACCGCGCCGCGCGGAAATACCGCCTGGCAAAAGCCAGCATGGGGCAGGTCCCCACCACGTCCCCAAGCTCGTCACCTCCAGCACCCTCCGGACCCCCGGGGACGGCAGGAGCCACCTGCAGAGAGGGGCTGTGGGCACGGGGCACGGCCCCACTGTACGAGGTGACCCCAAATCAGGGCAGCACCCACCTCGCTTCTGCGGTCCAGCTCCCGGGCCACGGCGGTGGAAGCCACGGCCACGGCCACGGCCCCCGAGGCTGCCACCCTGCCCTGCTTGTCCCGGGGCTCCTCTTTCCTCTCCGCCGGCAAGTGGACGAAATCGGGGGCGGCGACGGGCTGGACGTACTCGGCCGGGAAGAGCCCCGACCTGCCGTGGATGGCCCCGAACTTCCACCCTGTGCCAGGGGCAGAGGGGTGGGGATGGCCCCAGGGGTCACCCCTGAGCGGCCCCTTCCCCATGTGGCACCCGGGAGCCCTCCCCAAGGGGGGGCTGGATGTGGATTTTGG